AACATAACTTTATGATCAATGTCATGGATGTTTTATTTTCACTAAAATTAGGCTTTTAATCATCGGGCCAAAGTCCATCAATATATGTGTAAGTAGGCTATCTCCAGGATTTAATCAGGGTCAAAGGACTAACATGTTATTTCAAGATATGGAAATCCCAATAGGCGTGCGAACAAAATTTCTCATCGTCGATCCTTTTATTGTTTAACCAAATTTTATGTTCTATGTTCATAATATAAACAAATTACATAGTTTTTAGTTGAAATAAACGATATTCATTAAATAGAATCACTGTCATTTAGTATGAATTCATTGTTTTTGCACAAAGAGAAAGAAAACGAAAGTGTAATCACTGGCTCTGGTGGCAGTTAGCTCAACAAGCGCAACTCAGCACGTGCCGTGACGACACGACAGGAAGTGGGCTGCGATTGGCTGATGTTCCCTGGCACCATCTTGTTGATGTAGAAGAGGTCGAAGTCTACATCGAGGATTGTCAATAGAAGACTAAGCACGACCTTAATTAATTTATTATACACGAAATAAGTACGCAGAGATCTCAAATATTGTCTCAGGTAAGAGTTTGATTTCCTTGAAGAACAGCACAGGTTGTTTTTTTTACAGTAAACCTCACTCAAAGTCGAAGTGGTTCACACAATGTTTTGACCAGATTTCAACTTTCGTTAATTGTAATTTGAGTTAATGCTAGCGTCACCGGTGTAATTGGTGTAATTCGACGTTAGCTGTAATCTAGCATCTTGTCAGTATATTGTCTGTCATTGATACAGGTTAGAAAGTTTTCATCAGGCGTTGATTACTAAAAGATACTACTAGTGAAATTGCTTCCTGGTATCAAGTTAATTGAAATTAAATTAGTTTTTAAATAATGTTCATAGCCTATTCGGTTGTAGTATGTTATAATGTTATGATTTGAAATGTTCTTCAGGACAACAAGTTCAAAGATCCTTATATGTCTGATGAGCATTTTTACCCAATATATAGCGACTTGTTTTCTTAATTTAGTTTACAATTTACATAAAACTAATCAGTAATTTCATCATGTCATAATTGCATTCTCAGGATCTACATCAAGTTCACATTGAAATATTTTCAGAAGGAAATGCAACACTGACAAGTGATGTCTGTCAGCCCCACCACTGAAGTGGGATTCCCACGTCCCACACAACAAGAACGGACAACTGTCACGAAGAGAAATAACACACAAACAGCTTCAATCCCAAGCACAGACAGTAATACTTCTCATACACAATCAATGTCAAAACCCAGCACTTCAAACAGTAGGTCATCTACCAACACTGCCCTGGTGGAAGACTCACCTCAGCTGATAAGTTTGGCAGACACGGAAGACTTGGATGACCCGGACAATGGTCTCAGTGGGGATGAAGTCAGAAAGAAGACGGAGGAAGGGAAGCTGCTTCAGGATGCTAACTATGAGGTATGTACAGTTTCACTGTAAGGTTTACCTTTTTGTGTGTTTTGTTACATTTTCTTATTTTAGACCAACCACATATTATTATAGGTATGCTGACAGGTCGTTTTTGATGAGAGATGTACGAAATTCAGGAGTTGTTGAGTTATTGTTATAAGCTGTGACAGAAAAAAATTAAATAGTTAACAACATACCGTTCTGAGGATTATTTTAAACGGATTGTCACCTGGATATTTATGACCAACACACTTTTCAGATGGAGATGATTTATAAGCAGTATATTATAGGCAGTATTCTTCAATCATGGTACTTTAAGTCTCCTTTCAAGTAGCATTTCTCTTGTAAATAACAAATGTATATCATCTGAACTCATCCTATTTTCTATCTTTTTTTTCAACCATTTTCTCTTTCCTCTTTCTTCTTGGGAACTTTGTAGCTAATGCTGCAGCAGGTGCTTGAGCCAGAACTTACGCTCCCAAAGAAAAAGAGCAGAAAACAGAAATATTCCTGTATTTGTTGTGCAAAACAGGTAAAAAGGACTACCAAGTACAGACATGTCATTTGGTTGAGGATTGACCCCCCCCCCCCCCCCAAAAAAAAAGGGGGGGGGGGAGGGGAACTGACTTAAATTTCGAACAATGAATTATGAATATGAATGTTGTTGTTCTTTGAAATTCCTCAATGACATGTCTGCAAGCATGTTCCTTCGTGATGATCTTTTTGCGATATTTATTTTCAAGCCAAGATTGCATGCATTGCCACGTCTATTCTCGGATGCTATGTCCTGGGCTTAGGGATAAAGCATGGGAACTCTGCCTGACTGCTCTTTTCACCTCTGTTTGCCAACACTGGCTCTTTGCTTATGTTTTATGCATGGAAACTGTGTTTCCCAATGACATACAACAGCATATTACATATTTATGTTATGGTAACATGTACTCATTTACATCATAGATTGTTTTTTTAATAAACTCATTATTATTAGTAGTATTAGTAATTAGAATTGATGTACCAGATTTATAACTCAGAATTAATGGGCAAACTCCAGTCACATTGATTTATTGACAACTTGACATAGACTTGTGACCTCAAGTCAATGACTCGCACAAACACAGGCAAGCACGTACATACACACACATACACACACATACACACACACACACACACACACAAAACTGTCACCAATGTCAGGATAATATAACTACATGTAGGTGGTCCAAAGTTCAGATAGCTATCTGACCTATTTGGTAAGATGATGAAAATAGAAAATTTTAAGTGGACACTCATGTCACAATAGTGAACTATAAATCAGACAAGAGGAATGCTCTCGGTGGTTGTTAATTTTTAGTTCATTGCCTTTTGAAAAGAGACACTTGTAGTCTATTAATATTGTATTCAATAATAAACAAACAGTGGCAGCCCTTTATATGATAAAATAAAATGTTATTCTCAATAAAATGGGTCATAGTATGCTGTAGACAGTAGCTCATTGCCCTTAAGTGTAGCTTGATAACCTGGGTGATGGTATCATCACATGCTGAAGTGGGAACTATTCAGAGCTATGAACTGCACAAACACATGCTTAGATCTGTATTTGTTACACCAGTTGTGCAGTGCAATTGATTATTTTATTACAAAATTCTGTAATTGTCTTGTAACTCGATGGATTTTTTCTTGATCCAGAAGCAACCCAAACAAAATTCTCTCTAGGTCAGGAAAGTGAGCAATTCATCAGAGGCTCATTTCATGTCATTATTGATTTTAAGTCAGTCGTGTTGTACAGTGTGTGAGAGACAAAAATCGATGAAATTAATTAAGATGATTCACAAGAAGGATCTGTAAGAGGAGATGCATCCGAGGGTTTTGAAAGCAAAATGTCTTGTCCGGTTTCATGCTTGCATTGAAGATTTTTGCCATTTTTGGTTAAAAATGATTTAGCTAAAATAAATGTTGTATTGATATTGAGCTTTTGTAGCAGCATTCAGAAGCTGAAATATAGTTTTAGAATGTATTAGTACTATATTAGTCATAGTGTGTGTTTGTGTGCACTTGTGTTAATTCTGTTATGCTGCCATTGTACATAGTGTGCATTTATTACTAGGAGGTTGCTTTTATTTAATTTTATTTGATATAATGATTGGTTTATTGATTGTACACAATGTGGTTTTATTAAAGAAACATATGAATTTATATAATTAGAATAGAGTGCATTTTATATGAAGATTGGTCAGCTGACGAAATTTCAGCACATTGACACTACAACACAAGTGCATTGGCAGCTACTTAGTATGGCAGTTGTATTCTACCCTTCAATCATCTAGGATGACCAACATTGAGTTGAAGCTCCTTTTGATTTTTATGTGGCCTGCTTTGCCAAAATGACATAAAACCAACATTGCCACCAAGCATGTAATCCGTGTCCTCTTACAAAGTGTTTTGACACCATTTCATGTCATTACTCAGAAATGTGATTACTATATTCATTGTGTTCCATGTAATGTTGATCAATACAATTCTCTCGTCTACAATGTACATATTACAGCTGTTTAATGCATGGTATGTACATGTTCTTGTGACACTTGATGTGTGTGTGGCTTGTATTGTAAGGTTAGTGCACATTGCCTGGTTTGCATGTGTGAAAATTTGGGTGTGCCATGACATCTATTAAGGTACATGATATATTTATGGGCTTACTATAAATGAATAATATTGTTTTGAGAATCGTAATGATTCAATAAAATTTAATGAAAAGACAAAATATTTTGGAAAAAAGAGAAATAAATGAATAATCATTTTGAAATTTTATTTTAGATTTTACAAATAATTTCAGTATGAAACATTTGAATTTCCTTTCTTATTTTCAGGTACTAGTTTCCACCATCCTTTTATCATCTTGGCTCAGTAGAGCATGTACTTTTTGCTGGTTGAGTAATAAATATCATCTTCTAATAATTTTGATTAGGCTGAAAAGGTTCATTATTCACCAGCTTAAGACTTAATACTGGCCTGGCACCTTTTCCCTTACCCCAACTCTACCCCCTCATATAAAGAATAAGTGAAGCAACTCCCTCCACTCCACCCCTATCCTAAAACATGGTGTCACTGTGCATTTACAATTAATCTATTGTACTAGCTAGTAGTGCACACTAACTGCACGGGAACACTCACTGGATACAATCATATATAAACAGATTAACACACCTCCTGGCATGAGTAGAATATCGAAAATCTGAGTATGCTTGAAACATTAGGAGGTATGTTAATTGGATTGCAGTCAGCAAGAGTCCCCATGGGTTAGTGCGCACAAGCTAGTGTGATAGATTCATTGTGAACACACCCATAGAGTAAGCTAACCAAGCCCCGTCCATCACGTTTTCTCCATCTCTTGACTAAAGTTGCCTTTAATCTTGTGTTTTTTCCAGCATAACTCAGAAAATGATGACGAGGAAGAGGCTGGAGAGGAGGACGCCCTGAACCCAGCAGTGGACATCATCCACGCCATAGGGAGACGTATGGAACAGGCGGAGGAGTTTGTCAAGAAAGGATGGTGGGAGATCGTGCACCACAACCACCTGCCGAACTGGCTCAAAGACAATGAGTTTCTGTTACACGGCCACAGGCCGCAGCTGAACAGCTTTTCAGACTGTTTTAAATCTGTATTCAGAATTCACACAGAGACAGGGAATATTTGGACACATCTGCTAGGTATGATGAAAGAGAGAGGGTTCTATGACTTGCAAAATTTTATGCTGTAATATGTATTTAATTATTATTTATTTCACATAATCTTTATTTTTTCTAAAATAAAAAANTTTTAGTTTTATTTTATGAAGAGGTTCTGCAACGGTTTTGCACATTGGGTATACAACACAGATTAACATGGTCCTAAATTCACTGGTATTTGATGTGAAAGTTATGGAGCGCCACTGGGTCTGGTACGTTTGAAGTAAAATAATTGTCTTATTCGTGTCTATTATCAAACATAATAATAATAATGTCAATAAAAAGCTTAAATGGTATTTATGACATTATAATGGTATTATTTTAAGCTCTTCCATGCTTAATGTAGTTTAAAAGAGGATATCCATCTGCGCGTGACTCAAAGGAACATACATAAAGCCCAGAATCGTCAAATAAACTGTCTCAAAAAGTATATTCATGAATAGCGATTGCAAGCTACAAACATCAAAGAAACACAGACAAACAGAAACTTGAAAGTTCTAATGCGTAGAATCCATGTGAATGATTGGAGCAGGCAACCATATGATTTGATGGTATTTCTATTTTGCCACATTTCATCGTGTGTCTATTGTTACAAATTAGATATATCTTTGACATATTGACGTCCATGTTATTATGCGTTATCGCTCTGGTTCTGCAGAGTGTTCAGTCAAGTTCGTAAAAATTTTGCGGAAATGAAAAGGTATATGTTTTCAATTAATCCTCACACGGGTTTACAATAGAAGCTTTTCCATCTGTAACTTTCAAAGAACGCTGGCCTTCCCAGAAAAGTACTGATGTGTTTCTTGGACATCGCGATCGATTCCATCTTAAAGAAAACATGTCTTCATTTCAAATGTAACCAAGACCACCAAAGTCCATACTCAACTGCTGAACCCAGCAACGACAAAAAAGCACTCCAGTTCTTGCTGTCACGAGTTGATACTTTTGAATGAATAAATTGAACATCCATTTTATCAGTGACGACGTGACATGGACAATGGACGATGTTCAAAACAAATCGATTATATACCGTTTAAGTTGGTAATTGCCTCAATATCAGTACGTGCATTATTATATATCTATTTACCAGTTCGTATGCCTCTTTTATTAACGCGAAATGCCCTGAGGTACGTGTACTTATGGCCTGCGTCATTCGGTGCTTTTTGGCCAAGTTGGGTCAAGTTGAAGGGAAAAGAGGCAAATTTGTGTGCCAAATATAAACTTAAACCCTTGTGTGGTTGATACTAATACACAATGAATTAGACTGTATGCTACGTTAAACAAAGTTCACCTAAATAAAAAAAAAGTCCAGTTAAATCGTGCAAGTGGATTTACTGGTATATGGTCGAAAAATGATCATTAATCGAATTGGAAAACGCGTTTGCACACACCGTTTTCAATGAGCGACTTCACCGCTATGTGCCTTAAAGCACAGTTACGGATATCGCGTGTTGCTGTTAACTCGCTGAATGCAGTTTTCACTAAAAACGATAAATGTGTTATTTTCAGCAACCGGTATAATGATACTTAGACCATCCGCTTCCCAGATAATTGATTTAATTCAATAACAACAGAAAACGCAATGTAGCCTGCTTGACAGTGTTCCATTGTCAGAATATGAAAAAACATGTACTGAAATGTCACCAGTCACTTCAAGGACATCTTACGAGTGCAGTGAAAAGAATGATGCAATTTTAATGTAAAATTCTAGGGCTTCTGATGCTGAATATTTTGACAAATCGATGTTGCTACGTAATTTTCATCAATCAAAACATGATTAGCAAACGTCTCAGTTCTTCTCAGGCTTACAAACATTATCGCTAAATGCAGTATGCCTATACATATAGGCCTACCACACACTAACACAGCTGTTGACGCCACTACTTTATCTTTTAGTATTGAAATACCTTTTTAACCATACTTATTATTGTGCGCTAAAATGTGTACAAATTTTACAGTCTCTCTAGGCTATAGGTTTTTACATATATCTTTATACAAAGTTCGTAGTGAACAAAATAGACATGGGGACTTGGAAATAGCAGAGGATAATACGGCTGTTAACCAGTGATGGGTATTTCATTTCTTAATACCTTCAGTTATATATACGTGTGTAGCTCTTGAGTATGATTCACTTTTTGCACTGAGCCAGTTAAGAAATGCAATCATATTTCTTGTTTTCATGATAATCAGCATCTAGCACTGGTTCTCAGTACGTGTAAATATCCCCAAAGCAGTTGAAAAACAGAAATTAGTGAACCACAACACACCATGATCTGGTGGAACCGCGTCAGCAGTACCATGGCAACGTGGATTTAGACAGCACCACAAAGAAAAAGACAAATTGTACAAAAACAACCCCCCCCCCAAAAAAAAAAATAATATTAATAAAATAAATAAATAAATTAATTAATAAAAGAAAAAACGCAGAGATGTTTGGATGATACAAGATTATATTTCCTGAATAAAATCTGCAGCACTGTTCTAGGGGAAAAATGCATTCTTCAGACTCATGTTGTCTCGTATTTTAAAATTTTGCTGCCACTAAATGAAGACTTCATTTATTGTACCACCAGCGTTAGCGCTGGTGGTACACATGGTTTTAGTCCCGTCCGGATCGTTCCGCCGGCTCCGCCGGACGGCTACCGTTACCGCTTCTCCTCCTAGACGGTAAGGGCCTCCGTACCCATCTCTTGGATTTAGGTCACCTATAATCTCAACTCGTTCCACGTAAAATTTGGGCTTTGTCGGTATTGGGGTCTAGGTGTGGCACTCATTGCAATGCACCCTTGTCTAAAAATGGCAAAAATTAAATGCTAATTATCTACCCTACGGAAGGAATTATGGGAAAAATTTCTACAGACGGCTTTCCAAAAGTCATATGTGTAGATTTCAAATATGCCCTTGGATTTGACCTTTGACCTTTATTTCAAGGTCAAACGGGCCAAAATTTTCAAAAAACTAATTTTTTTACGAAAAAAAAAATATTTGCCCTGTTATTCAGACATCACACAGACTTAACCAATAATATTATTGGAAAGTGTTACCCTTCAGGTCATCTTTCATCTCCGTGAATTTGGGGTCAATCGGTGCATTTTCACGGGAGTAGCGGCCATAAGATACCGAAACTGAAAACTGTCTCTAATTCGGGAACCGTTAATGCTAGAGACCCATTCTTTTTTGCATTTTGTAGAGCATGTAAAGCCCAACACTGGAGGTGGTCTCGGTTTTTTTGTATTCCATACGGTTTTCGAGTTACGCTGTATCAAAAAGTACATATTGGTGGT